AACATCTCCCTGTACCTACATGTGGTTTGCATTCTGGGATGTGGACAAGGTAGACAAAGGTCTTTACTGGTTAGCAACTAGCTATGAAATGGACCTAATCCTCCAGAACACAGCACCTTGTTCCTGTTTGTACTTTTGTCGCTCCCACCTCAGGCACATCTGGCCAATACGGGGACTGGATGTGCTCACGTTTTTGTAATCATGCGCTTTGGTTTGTTTGGAGTTCACTTGGATTCTTTTCTGGGTGAAAAGAAGCCAAATCACAGGAAAAAAGCTACAAGTTTGCAAACTCATCAAATGATTCGGACCGAAGTTATAACAAACTATAGGTGTAAAAAACGCCCTTAAAAGTCTTTCTCAGATAATAGCTGGAGCAGCGGTTCCCATAGTTTTCTAATATTGTGCATCCTGAACACCACATGGAGCAGAGGAAGTGATGCTGGATGAGTTTTGGGAAATTTTCTTTCAAGTATCAGATTTGAACAGTATAAAAGGTGGATGATAGCAGCACTTTGAAGTCTCACTTTTAACATTTTGGCCACCACTGTTAGTTTTTGGCCACCCTTTTGTCCAGACATGCACCAAAACCCGATCACAGACTTCTTGTCTGTTACACACAGCAAGTCACATTAGTCAGATAACTCCATTCAAAATGGATTAAAGTCAGTAAAAGCAAGACTGAATACGTGTGTGGATGAGAGCTGCAAAGGTAAATACGCTGAATATGAGCTTTAAGCCTGAGAGAAGACACAAAGATCTCAGAGATGGATGAACACTAGCTGGTTTTAGTCTTTTTCATCACTGAACATCCCAACAAGCCTCGAGCCTTGAAGTTTATGACACAAAAAGGAAATATGAAAAATGCCTTTAACTCTTTTTCTTCTGCCCTCAGATGGACTACCGCTCACTCGTACATGAGAAGGACGAGGCCATCTACTCGGATATCAGAGTGATCGTCCTCGACATCCGCGGCTTCTACGTAAGAAGCCTACATTTATATTTCCCCCCAAATACTTTAAACCATGGGAAAAAATGGATCTTAAATAAAATATGAGTTTTTCTAAGATTAAACTGTTTGAAAATCAGTTTTTTAATCATTAACGATGTATTTTTAGCTGCTGTAAGTCAATTATTAATCTGCATCTCTGCTTATTCTCCTCAGGCCGAGCTTTATGACATCATCAGCAAAAACCTGGAGAAGGTGACCAACCCAAAAGGAGAGGAGAAGCCCTCGATGTACTGAGGCTCCCGGGGAACGGGAAAAGCCACTGGGATGAATTTAAACAACCTTCAGCTGCATTGATCACCTGCTAAACTCAATATCAATCAAGTATCCGGCTCTTTGTTTGATAAACATTTAAAATAAATACATAAACAACTGGATGGTTTTTTTTAGTTCTGCTGTTTCATGGTAACACTTTGGTTTTATACCAAGATTTGCACTAAATTTTAAGTTGTGTGGTAAAGAATGAATAAAGAAAAGTGTTTTTCAGACTGTGTGACATCCTCGGATTTATTTTTAACAAAGAAAAACTTTTC